TGTATTGTTTGATTGTACATGTCTGTCAAATTTTATTGTTATATGGATGTTTTGGCAGGCATTTGTTCTTATTTTTTTCTTAAATTGTGTGTTCTATGGTCTATTTTTAACAGTATTCTGTACATCATTCTGAGAGCATTGTGTTAATTGAACAGTATAAAAATGCTATAAATAAATAAAGGTCATGCTCTACTGGGGCAAGTGTAGTCAAAGGCCACCTTAGAAAACCACTTTGTCCATGTTTTTGCCCCACTTTAACCAGCCACAACTCTGCAGTTTATCACATGGGCGGTGGTGGGGATGGTCCAGACTGAGAGCACGTTCCACACTGGGTGGCCTATGGCTATGTTTTGTTTTGCTTCAAAAGAAGAGTGGCCAGTTTAAGCACACATTTTAAAAAGTGAGTAATATAACATTTCATTTGACCCTAAATCTCCAAAGAAAAATGGCCTAAAAAGTTCAGAACAGAGAAGGAATGCCTACTAAATGTGGAATTTATCTGTTAGTGAGGCACATTGAGTATAAAGCAAACATGATTTTTCATGATCATATTTAACCCTCATTCTGCCCTTTTTCTTTTCATTTTAACACTACCTAACTTCCTCCCTCTGGACTGGATATAGCATGTCTAGGATTCCCGCATATCCTCACTTGCCACACTTTCCTGCGTGTCTGTGTGCTTTAAATCAGACCACTTTGGGCACAATCTTATGGCCTCCTGATGTTGCCTTTTGGGTCAGAGGATTATGTGGAGTCCCAGCTCCAAGAACCTGCAAGACCCCAAAGGCCGCCCTTGCCCCTCACAGCTAGCACAGAAAGAACCACACTGACTGTTCAGGCACCTCAGAGGGAAGAAAAAAGCAGCGTGCTGGAGGGAGGGGAGCAGGCCAAGGCTGAGCACCGGCACCTGTTCCTATTGGCATCTCAGCCTCCTTCCCTCACTGTCCCCTCTTCCTTCCCCACACTTTATCTGGACAGCTGAAAGGGCTGTCTAGGGGCAAGCGAGGGCATGAGGAGTGGCCGCAGCAGGGATCACTGTTTGGGGTGCAGAGGGCTCACAAGCCTCCAAGTTCACAGGCCTACTTGCTTGGAGGGTGGGGGCAATAGCACAGTGCATTTAGTTAACTGATCTAGATGGTTATATTATACCATCTCCCACAGCCCCTGATACAGATTGTTCTGTGTAATCACCACCTTTTCCTGCAAGGGCTCCTATACTTTGAACGGCTGTTTACCAGGGAGAAATTCAGTGGATGAAGCCTTCCATCACTGAATGCCCATGTTGGGATATTCTCCTTCATCTCCAAGGTATTTCAGGATGAATTCCCTGTTATCGCTCTCCATTCAGAATAAGAGGCTTGTACTTTTAGCAGCACCTAGAGGCGACAACTGAATTAAAAAACTAAATAAAATCTTAAATTAGAATTTTAATTAAGACTCAATCCTAAACATGTTCTCTCAGATGTAAATGTTATTGAAATCACTGCTATTTAGTTTTAAGTAAATATGTTCAGGACCGAAGTACTAAACTCAAATACAGAGATTTTTTCTCTTTGTCAAGGTTTAATATATAAAGCAGAGATAGATGTCTCATAATCTACTTTTTAACCTCTTCTTTCCCCCATGCTCAGATACTTTTTCTAGTTCCTTCATAGTGTATACACTAGTGTGAAAATGTCTAACAAGAAAAACAATAATGGACTGGGCAATAATAGAGAGGAGATGCCTTGGGCAAGGAAAAGGGGGATAATTGTTTCTGCAAAGCATCTGGTTCACATTACATCATGGTGCAGTGCCGTTTGCATGTGTAAAATTGTCTATAGACTGGCTTAAACTGTAAACATTGCTGGGGGATGAAAAGTCTCTTCACTACATGAGCCACAAAAATGAGATCTATTCTGGGAGGGAGAGAAAGAAGTATAGGGAGGACATTGATGAATGGACCAACAGACAGATGTGTTGCTCATGTGCAAATGAGATCGGTAGCTAGGTTTTTCTGGCAGCTAACCAAGGCAAAAGAAGCCTGCAATCTTGTCCAAAACACTTCCTTAGCTAGGATTAGGATTACTTGTGAGTAGAGAAGGGAGGAACAAAAACGAAATGTGTGTAACTTTAAGATTTATCCATGCAAGAAGCAGAGGAGGACCAATCTCCTAAATTGCTCTCAGAGCAAGTCAGGATTCAAGAAGAAAAGGCAGGATTAACTCCTCCTCCCTCCTAACACCTTGGGAAACCACTTAGAGTGAGTTGGAAGGAGGATCCTGTTGGGAAAGGGGAAATGACCGAAACACTCATCTCAGGAACTGCCATATGGCATCCATTTCTTGCAAGTACTACTAGTACAGAGGAAAGAAAGGGAATGTAAGCAATGTAATGTAAGTGATTTGCAAGGCATAACCTGGCTTAGCTCATGATTTTGTTGCATTTTTTATTTTGATTTATTGTAGCGTATATTACTTATTTTGGATTTTAGGATACTGCTTTATTGTGTATTTAGAAATAGAATTACATACTGTCTAGAAAGCCCAATGGGACATGGGGCAGGATAGAAATGTCAATTGAAATGAAATGAAATTATCTAGAACATATAAGAATGTGCTTTTATTTGCATTATGTGCAACACAGAACAATTAAATTGAAAAGATTTTGGTTATTGGCTTCAGTGGAAAATGGATTGCCCTCTACATTATTGGGATTAGGAGCTCTAAGATCCAGGGCTTCCCTATATGAGAGATTTAGCCCTTTGTTTTAGTGGGGTTCCCCCTTCCTTTTTCATTTGTGGAAGATAATCAAATCCTTCACATGTGTTGGGGCATCTCAATAGCGGCTGCAAGGCAGGACAACCAGAAAGACCCATTTTGCCTTGAACCTCAGCAGTTTATTGAAAGATCACTCAAGCACCCTCTGCAGAGAACCCAAACTTATAACAGCACTGTTGGGTAGAGGCCATGCCAACTACAAGCTTCCAGAACATATACAGAGTTTTTTATAGATTCTGAGTCACATGGGCCCAGCAGCTGGACAGTTGATGACGAAATAGGGGGAACACAGTCAAAAGAAGGTGAGAGATCTGCAGAAGGGGCTCAGTACAATACCATTGATTACAGAAGATTGATATAACAATCAGGAGTCATTGCCAGTCTTCGCTGCAAGTTTCGTCATGCAAATTAGGGTGATTGCAATACTGTTAACCTGACAGCCTTATTAGCTCTTACTGATCCGCAAAAAGAATAGTGAGGGCAGCTTCTCAGGTGAGATATGAGTTCCAATGTCTTAAAGTAACAGCAAATGCTAAACAGTAACCTGACTCGGAATTCTGGTGCTTTCTGAGAAAGGGGTGCAGGTATTTTTATAACACAAAGGCACATATAAGCAACCTTTTTCTGCCAGGATTTATCTGAATTTTCCCAATAAATGAGGATTTGTCTTTCTTTGCTTTTTATTTATTTATATATATATATATATATATATATATATATATATATATATATATATATAAACTGCAAGCACAAGGTGGTGCTGCAATATAGCTGCCCTATAGCAGATTTGCGGCTTCTTTGGAGCCTTTTGTTCTGGAATGTTGCAGTTTAAAAATTAATACCAGACTCTCCTGGCTCTGAAAAGAACCTGCTTTAAAAGCCTGAAAAACAGAGAAGTTCTGGAGGATGACAACATCATGACAAGTCTCCACAAACTTCTGCGGGTGAGGGAATCTCAAGAACACAATAGAAGTCCTTTGTTAAATCTAACTGGAATTCTATCATATTGAACTCAGTAAAAATTATAGCTGTTCTACAGCATATAGAGATCAAAGCAGTACTAACAGTTGATAAAGACTGCAGAGGGCTTTCAGGAAAAAAAAAACAACTAAAATTATCAGGTCTTCAGTTACTTTAGCAAAGCATTTCTGTGGGATGTCTGTCCATAAGTCAGGCATAACAATCAAATTATGCCTACAGCAGCTGTGAACATAATATTGTGTGGGGCTTCCAAAATTAGTCCCAGGAGAGGATGAAGCCTCCTCCCTGGTTTGAATCTGGAGGCCTTTACAAAATAAAATACTTGCCACAAAAATATACTGACATGAAGCTTAGCTATCTTGCATGCAAGAGGTTAATATCATTAAGAGGTGATAACAAAGATTTGCTGCAATCTAACAGCCTTTATACACTTTTGGCACACCTTCTTTATCCTGATTGGTTAACAGTTTAACTACAGATATGACTTACTTCTTTTGCTTATTCCAGGTAACAAAGGATATTTACACTGTTGTTTTGAAACAGAGGAGATTTGCATTTCCTGATGTCTATCCCATGCTTATCAACATACACACTTCAAAACTCCTTTCTTATGTATGGGTCACAGCTGACCGTGTATATTGTTTAACATTTCCTCTGGTGAAACTCAAATTCTCTTGTTACCCCTTTCCTCAAGAATGGGAAATGTGTGTCCCTTCAAATGTTGCAAGTCCCATCAACTCCAGCCAGCAAAGTTAACAGTGAGGGAAAGTTGCAGTCTGTCAGCTTCAGGAGGGCCACACCCCCACCTCTGGTTCAAGTCCTATCCTAAAAGAAGAACAATCCATCCTTTTAGACCAATAAAAGTGTCTCAGTCATTTTTAATATACTTACTTCACTTAAATAGGAGAGGATTTGCATTACTGACTATATGCTTTGTCAAATACTACAATTATGCAACACTATCAGAAATAAGTCCCACTTAGCTCAATAGTATTTACTCTCAGGTACATAGGGGCCTGAACCACTAATATTTTGTTGAAACTTCTAATACCTAGAAATGTGTTTTAAAATTATATAGTTTCTTTTTGATAACTAGCAGGTTATATTAACTAATATTAACTGGGTGGTACCAGGGGATGGGGGGCGGGGGTGTCCTTCTGCTCTCCTGTAACTGAAAGGTACCTATGTTTGGTTAATGAAACTATGATAGCACTCTTGCTCATGCAGTACCTTAAACCAACTACTGGATTTCGCACCTACCTCTGCTACTTTTGCAGCATTCAGGACTCGACTCTCCTTTTCAATGTCCTTTTGTTTCTGTAAAGTTCTCCACACAGCATTCCTTAATCCTTCTCGGTTCACGACCCATGTGAGTTCACTACGCAGGATAACTAGATTGTAGATCACGCCATACCGGATAACCCAAAATGGATCATGACCTGCAAATAATGTTTTGGGGTGCTGTGAACATTTCCTAGTAGATGGGAACATGACTTTATGGGTCATAACCAACACTTGGAATTTTGCCCAAAAAAGACCAGTAGCCAGTCACAAGGGAGTCACATGTTCCCTGTAACCAGAAGTCTGGCCACCACTTTCTGCACAAACAGATGTTTCTGAATAGTTGTCAAAGCCAGCACCATGTAGAGTGCATTGCAGTAGTCCAAACAGAATGTAACCAAGGCTCATTTGACTGCAGCCACATTAGACACAAAGCTTGTGCAGCAACTTCATCTGTGCAAATGAAATTCTTGGTCACCACTGAGACATGGATATCCAGGCTCAAGACGAAGTCTAAGAGCATAGCCAAACTACAAACCTGAGGCTTCAGAGGGAAAGTATGCTGCACAAGTTGAACCCCTGTTTCCTGATCTGTCCATCAGTTGACCTCTGCTTTGCTTTAATTAAGTTTTATTGACCCACATCCAGCCCATTACTGACATGAGGAATCAAACAGAACTAGAACAGCTTCCTTGGAAGCAACTAATGATAGCAGTGCATTTTTAATTTCAAGATTTATGTGCAGCTTGCTGCAAATCACCCTACCATTGTGACTACACTGAATTGCTGAGTGATACATTTATTTAAATGTTGCAAGGGCCCTTGCTGAATGTGACTTACTTCCAAGTAAACATTAGTAGGATCTTGTCCATATGGTATGTTATATTGTGATGCTATGCTTGATGTGACACTACCATTTTAATTTCACTTTTAGTCAAATGCAGGCAAGGAAGGCCTCAAGAGTATTGAGAAGCTCTGAAGTCAAAGCAACTTTGCCTGCCCCCTGCATCTGGTACGGAGACACAAAGGGATACAGTAGCTGAAGGTTCCATGTGTTACATCTGTTTGGTGAGATCAAAACCCAGGCATTTTTAATTATAAATGGGGAATCAACAGAAAAGTAGAAAAATAAATGTTCTTAGGACATTACAGGGAGACATGGAAGAATGTGGGCTTACTGAATTCATACACCAGCATGCACAATTCTGAATCTTCATAATAAGCATTTCTCTTGCTTCATGGATGTTTTTTGCTGAACGTGGCATACCAGAGTTGCTGAAGATGAATAGGTGGTTGAGGGGGGCTGGAGACCAGCAGAATATCAAAGGGTGCTATCTGTGCTTATTTATTCATGAAATATACTTAAATGCTACATCTGTGTGCATACCATTCTGTTGCAAGGGAAGAATATAATGAGCTTGTAAATGTGGTTTGATCCCAGGCAATCTCAGTATGCAACTGGACAAACTGAAGGTGAAAACATAGCTGTTTCCATTCTAGCTGAAAGCAGAAATAACACAAAAATACACACAACCATAACGGTGTTTAAACTGTCCGCAGATCTGAAAATGCGAAATTACTGCACTGATCCTTCAGAGATTCTTTTCCTGATCCAGCCTTGTATCATGTTAACTTGGCATTAGCAGCATTTCCTACAAGCCCTCCTAATTAGAACAGGGAACATGACAAATACTGAGGAAATATTAGTCATCTCTTTCGTGGCTGGTGCTACCCTAATATGCTAAGTGTCTCCCAAAATGGGTCTCCACATCTTTCATCCTTATGAGTGGCGATTTTGCATTACCATTGCTAAAAAGATGTTTTTCTTCTATTGAATCAATTTGCTAGATTTTACAAAAGTAATTACTTAGGCTGCCATCCTGTGCACACTAACCTGGAAGTAGGCACCATGGAACACACTTACCTAGACAGGATTATGCGGCACATGGTTGCTATGCAGCATAGTCAGGTTCAACAAGGGAAATAACAGCATTTCTTTGCTTTTTTAAGTATCTGCACCCAGAATATTTAATATCAATGAAGCAAACTAGTTAGTTCCTTTCCTTGCATGTACAGAAATGTAATAACCATTCTATGCCATAATTATGTACTGAATTTTATGTACTAAAAACTAGCTTTCTGCTGACAGTTCAATTACTATTGAGCATCCATAAGGACCTAAATATGGAGGTCCGTCCACCAATACAAGACTATTTTAATGAAACAACATTGATCCAGGAGTATTTTTATTAAAATTCATAATGTTAGGTTTGAGTACATTTCATTTATTATACGTCATCTGAAAATTCTAGCTATTAAGCTGTAGTGGCTGCAATTGTCAATAGTGGGATTTTAGCAGAGCTGCTTCATATTTTTTGAAAACCTTTTGCTTCTCTTTCCTGGAGTTCCTCCTCCAAGAACTTTGAAGCTTCCTTTGTTGTGGGGGGGGGGGGGGTCCTTTCCTTTTGATAGACTTACCCTTTGCTTGAGATCAAGATTAAACTCAGTCAAGTAAATTTCCATTAGCATAGGAACACAAGAGAAATTTTGATGGATCAGATCAAAAGTCCATCCAGCCTGGCATGCTCTTTCCCAGTGGCATACCAGATGAGAAACCCACAAGAAGCTATACCCTTCTACTGGTTGCTTTCCAGCAGCTGGCACTGTGCAACATACTCCCTGTGATCCAGGAGGTTCTAGATTTGTCCTCCTTGAATTTTCAGTCTCCTCTCAAAGATTTGTGAGGTGGTGACCATCACCATATTATGTGACCATCACCATATTATGTGAGCAACAAATTCCATAAATTAAATTCACCTTTTCCCCCTCTCAATTTATACTTGACAAACAGCCATGATCTCTACAACCTCTTCTACTTCCCTTTGCTTCCCTTCAGTAATGATCTACCCAATTAGCTTTCATACTTGTTTATCCTTGGGAGCTGTTGTGGTAAAAATCCTAAGAAAGCTTAAGGCACATGCATCTTCTCTTATGCAAGCACATTCTTGTATGTAGATCATGGTCAAAGAGGTTAAGGCTGCAAGATTAGGCATACTTACTAGAAGTAAGCTGAATTTAATTAAGTGGAAAGTACTTGCAAATAAGCATGCTCAGGGCTACAAGGTGTGGCTGCAATGCTTTGTACTTGGGCAAGAGGCTTAATTATGGCTTCTCTAAATGAGGGGTTTAACTGTCCATTTTACTGAGGCTGCTTCTGTTTTCACTGCAGGAGGAAGAACATGTCCTTTACATGTCCCCCTCCCCAGGGGTTTATTTTTCTCTATCTTCCTGTATATTCTATTCCCCAATCACCAGACTGCACTATAGCAGATTTGTAGCTTCTCAGGAGCCTTTTGTTCTGGAATGCTGCAGTTTCAAATACCAGACCCTCCTGGCTCCAAAGCGAACCTGCTAAAAAGACTGGAAAACACAGGAGAAGCTCTGGAAGATGGCAGCATCATGAAAAGACCCCAGAAAGAACCCTCCGTGCACCACAAAATCTGCTCTGGAGAGCCCCCTAATCCTCTGGCAATGAGTTGGGGATCCAGGGGGAAGCAGAGTGAGACATTCTGTTCCATCAGCAGGTGGGCACAATTTTCTTTCACCCAAAGGGAACAAGGAATCATATAAAAACTGACAATCATACACAGATCCTTGCTCCACTTTTTAATATAGGAGTAATTAAAAAACAACAGATGAGATCATTTTCAGCATATGAATGAACAAATGGTGCCACATAGGTTTGGTATGTACAATTCAAATTACTTGCATACAGATTAAATCTTGAAATGCTTTTTGATATTGGGATATGCTAATTAAGGTGCTAAAATTATATCAAAACAGTGGCAAGGAGTAAATTGACAAAGCAAGAAGGAAAACCATATATTTGGTTAGATACGGTTTTCACAGCACCAAGCCTTCTAGAAATGGAGCAAGGTTTTTGCAGGTTTCAAGAACAAATTGTATACTGCAGGTCACCAGATTATATCAATGAATACACAGAAGTGCAGCTACATTTACTCCTGGAGTCCAACAGAGATTCATGAAATAAAAGGCCAACGCAAAGATGAAATCGAGTTCAGTTGAAAGGCTTTTTGAAAAAGCCAAGTAGGGATTTTAAGAAAAAACACCTCAAGGTCAATTTACTGGACCAAATTGGTATGTTGATAATTAGACTGAAAAATGTATACAGAGTTTGAGATGCAATGAAGTCTGTGGACATCAGTACATGCCTGCCTTTTAACTGAACAAACATTCTCAACATAATTGGCCCTAGTGTATATTAGTAAAATACAGAAAATCACCTGCCCTTTCGTTTCCACAGTCAGAGAAGCAAATCAGCTGTCTTGTGCAACATTACTAATCCATATAAGCAAGGCATTAACTGATGTTCAATGTTCACACATCAAGACAACCTACCCTGGCAATAAGTAGGCTGGCTGTTGTGCAGGTATGAATGCATACATACATCCCTTTGAAAAAAAAACTATGGGGGGGCCTGTTTAAAATGCCTCCCCAAAAGGAGCTGGAGTTTTGACAGCTAGCTGTCCAAAATGACCGATCCAGAAAAGAGGGGTAATTTCCACTTGTCCATCTTCCCAAGAACCTAGAATTTTGGCAAAGGGTGGAAAAGTGAGAGCAGGAGTCAGATCAAACCACCACCCTCCCTCCAAAAAACATATGACCTTTAAGGAACTCACCATGACATGGGTGTTCAACTGACAGTCTCTTTTTGCAAAGAAAGATCACTCGTGGTTTTGGTTTCTTTTGACAGTTTTCCTTTTTACAGCTGTCAAGAAGAATCAAGGTGAAAACACAAAGCTCTTGCTTTGCTCTTGGGTCAATGCCCATGAGGGGTGCCGGCTGCACCTCAGCAGCTTGCACACATGGACTCTGCTCAGGTATAAAGGGCCTTGTGCAAGCAAAACTAGACAGAAAATAGTTTGTCAAAAAAAATTGCACATTTGGGGCACAAAAAATACAGGGTGTTCCAAAAAAATTGATATCATTTGAAATGTGAGTACCTGAGTAACTACATGTCCTAGGCAAACGAAATTAAATAGGCTTCATATTGAACAATAAAAGATTTATCAAAATTCAAACAAGAGATTCAAAGGAATGTAGATTTTATAACTGATTTCACAAAGCTTCACAAATG